TGTTCGATCCAGGGGTGTGGATTAGCAATTCTGAAACTCATCTCTGTGTGTTCTAGGCTTTAATAAATATGCAAATAAAATATACTAAAGTAGAGTGAAAGTCAGATTTATTGCTGTTGGAAAAGTTTTAAGTAGAGAAAGGACAAGAATGAACCCTATGGTTCTGAATTAGAATCAGAGGTGTCAAAATAAGAATGAACTCATGGTTTGATGCAGAGAGATATACAGATAAATAAAATATAATTTATATATATTTGTGTGAATATATAAATATGGACATGATAAATATACATAATTCCCTACCTCTACATTTGTTTCTAAATGCCACTGCTCCTTTAAAAGGAAACTCATTCCCAACTGGGAACAATATCTAATTCCAGTAATTGGACAGGGAAATTATGAGTCCAGAATTACTTGCTCCAAGAAAGTAAGGAAATGCTTAAAGTGTGATGGGGGACCTATCAAAAACAATTAGTTTTAAAGGGCGCATGGCCAAATCTGGGACAATTCTGGGCAGTCCTCCAGAGACTGTGGACCTAATGGGTAGGGGTAGGGATAGAGGACCTCCCCCCGCACCTGCAATTCAACCTCATACTACTACATACAAAAGTGCCAAGACTTCCTTTATACAAAGATTACTGCAGTCCAGTTTTAACCTACTCATAAACACATTCACATAGTGGCTGAGGAAAACTGTGCATGGAGCAGTAGCACCAAACCCTTTTGCACAAAGCATGGCTCATGTGGCAGGGTTCGGAAGAACATAGCTCCACTGGTAGTGAGCAAGTGGGTGGCTGCTCCAAGAATAGCACCCAGACTGGGAGCCCTGAATGGAGAGGCACCAAACAAATGTTTTTACAGAATGAGAGGGAAACTACGTAGGTGGGTACAGAGCTGCAATGTAAAGGCAATTAGATCTAATTCAATGTGGAAAACAGAGAGGAAAGCAATTATGGCCATTTGCAAAATGAGAAAGCCGAGTGTGTTTGTCACAACCACAAACTGCTCTTATGACATTTAACTGTATTCCTTATTAGATCCTCCCAAATCTATTAACACTCATTGATTGCATCCTTGTCTCCTCTACCTGGTCGCTCCCCCGAACCCCACTTGGCCAGTTGTGGTAAACAAGTATATAACAATAAGACATATTCAATCCCCCATCCCCATAGGGGCTGTAGCTACCAGTCAGGAGTGTGGGCTCTGGAGTTCTCACCGGCCTCTTCCTCTGGATCTAGTTTCTAGAGTCAGAATGCAAGACGTGGATCAGGCCACCTAAATCCGTCTCTCCTCTCCTCACATCTCAGCTTAAAGCCACAGCACTCAGTCTCCAGATCCCTTTAACACTGACTCTGCAATGCTCCTGGGATTTAAAATGCATTCTGAAATGTAACACTGAATTATACAAAAAAGATTTAGGAATAAGTTGGAATCATTCATATATAAAATCCTAAAATCTCTTCTTAAAAATGTTATTTTAGATATTTCTCTACCATGCTATCTTTGAATCAAGTGTGGAAAGCAACTTAAAATGAAAATGTATTTATATAAGTTATAAAGCAACCATTATATAACAAAGTACAGAGTACGGAATACAAATGAGAGAACAAAAGTACAGTTACTTATAATAGGAAGAGGAGGCATAAGAAACAAATTGAACGGAATGATGATTGTTCCTTTCTAGACCAAGTAGCATTTCTTCAGTTTTCTAGAAACTCCTAAGATCTTAGGAGAATCCTCCACTTTATCATTTCCTCCCCCTGCAAGGTTAACTATGCCCAGCAGTTGCTTTGTCTGTTTCTTGTAGCTGAGGTTGGACATGGGGCTTAAGCTTGGCCAATCAGATGCACCCCACTTAGTACAGGCAATGAGAGATGCAAAGGAACCGGGTCAGAGAAGGCACCCCTGGAGACCAGAGCAGTGACGGTGGGGTGCCTTCTGGTGCTGGGAGGACACAGTATCCAGCTGTCATCAGTGGAAACATCGCCCACTCTGCCTAGCTCTGCAGCAAGCATTCGTCTGTGATGCTGGCTGGAAAGAGCGAGTCCTCTAGTTGTCTCAGGCATGCTCTCCCAGGCTGTAGTTCAAGCAATAAAAGGTTTTTTCCTACTTTCTCAACAAATGTTGGCTTTACTCACAAGTATGAATCCTGTCTGATGCATCTTCGGCCATGTGACTGACCTCGTTATACTGAGCTGCCTCCTAGAAGAAGCTGCAATGTTTCTATTTGGTTTGATTTGGTATATTATTTATTTATTTATTTTTGTCTAGAAACACTCAAAAATTATTCCATTTAAATTAGTAACAGGATTTTCACACACAAAAAGTAACCTACCAAATCATACCAAATAGGAAGGCTCTATTTTGGATAGCAAGGGAAACTCTTCTAACACACAAAGTTATGTTTAGATTTTTCATTGGTGAAAAACACATTGTTCCCTTCTGGATTTCCTAGTTACTGTTTTGGCTTCTTACTTTTACAGACTCTGCTCAAATTAAAAGGTCTTTCCAATTTCAGGGTTAGAAATTATACTTTCTAAGTATGAATAAAATGACCGGAGAAATTTGAGTAGAAATTCCATTAATAGATGATGCACAAGATAATAAAAACCCAAATATCATTCTGCCCTAGGGTACTGTCTGAAAAGCAGGAGGACAGTACCAGGGGCTAAGTTCCCCACAATGGTTACTCATTAGCTTATTCAGAGTGGCTTTACAGGCACAGTCCATTTGCCAAATTGACTCTTGCCCAAATTTTCCTGGCACACAAATTACCGACAGTTAACCCTCCTATTAGTAGTCTCAGCAGGACCCAATGCATGAATGAGCACAGAGCTCTTCTGCTTCGAGAGGCCAGGGCAGTGTTCAGGCCCAGTGTCTGAGAATTATCAAAGAACTATGCCTGGTGTCTGATAATAAATGCTCGAATTGTAAGTAATTCGGTCTCCACTTTCCCTGACTTTTGCTCCAGGGGTTGTTTAAAAGAACTAGATTCATTTAAACGATGACCCTTTTTTCCTCTCCCTGATTTTAGATTTTTAAAGCTGCAATTTATTTTAAATGCAAGGTAATTAAAGATGTTGGTTGAAAATATTTACTTGTAGAACAAAAGGTGACGGGTAATTTTGTTGCTAAAAAAACATGGCTTCTGGCTATTCTGAATATTTTCTTTGTAAGTAAAGACACAGAAGAGTATAAATTGTAACTCTTCTCACATGGCACAAACCACCAGAAACTACCTTTAACGAAAAAGAGTACCCATGCACCCATGCTATCGGAGAGCCCTTCCACTGAGACTACACAGCCAATGAACTGGACCATAAAGGACTTCTGTATCCCTGTTGTACATGAGAGACAGATCACTGGCTCATTTCATATTAGTCTACTAGGACTCATAGGACAGAAACAATTTCCTTTTATTTCCAGCCAGGTTGGAACTAACCCAGTCATTCAGAAACAAACAGGATATAAGTTGATTTAAAAAAAAAATAGCTAGATAATAAAACCTTTGATTCAACAAGAAATGAATTTCTTCTTTTTCCTATGAGAGAAATAATGGATAAAAATGCGAAATTGAAGTAAAATTTAGGGATGCATACATTTTTTATAAATTAAAAGAAAGTTTTGATTTTTGGTAACTCAGCATAAAACCCACCAGAAATACTTTATTATGAAATAGCTCATTTGACAGGTTAAGAACATAATTGAAATGTATCTCATCCAAGAAATATAAATGAGCTTTAGTGACATCAGCTGAAATACACTGGCTTTTGCGAATGTGGTTTGTGGGGATTTCTGAAAATCTCCAGAGACCTTAGTGGTTGTCTGGAGGGCTTTGTAGAGGGTTTGCAAAGTCCAGAGTAAAACTGTTTGATTTCGTCTCACATCCATGGAAAGCATTCTATCCTTCTCTACGAAGAGAAACTAAATGCCTTAGTTTCCTACCAGGTGACATACTGAAGAAAAGGTTTGCTTTTATTCAAAACCTGTACTAGAACAGTGGCATGCATATGTTAAAGCAAAGACATAACTACAGGGAAAAAACACATATTAAGTGACAGTATCATAAATATTTAGTGTATTCAGGATAATTATTAGCCAGGTGTTAAATGTGAGCTAGAACAAACTCTCTGAAAGACACAAATTGAAGAAACATTGCAATAATAATGGTTGGAAAAGCATATTACTTCTAATTCTATTAGAATTATCTTCTCTGACTTCCTCACTCTCTTTGCTGATAAAGAAAGCCAATCATTTGGGCAGCCTATCAGAAGGACAACATTTCAACTATTATTTCCTTATGACTCCATTACGTGTTTATCACACTTAGAGCTCTTTGAAGGGTGTACTCACATGCAATAAATATGTGTGTGTTGGTGGAGGAGGAGGGGAGGGGAGGAGGTTGGTTTAAATGAAACACATGTGAGCAGGAGCCTGTGGGTCTGCATCGGACATAGCCATCAGCCCCCAGAGGCGAGTTTGACATGAAGCAGGACCTTGAGCTGACACACTGGGAGATTTCATACACCGTGCAAACCTTCATTCTATTCTCTGCATGCTATTTTCATTCTCTAAAGAAGTAATTACAAAATAATTTCTAATTGCAAAGAATGTGTGAGACAGAAGCTGGATAAAGCTGGGGGTGTCACCACATGATCGGGGTTCTGACTGCATTACTGGATTACCCACCTAGCAGTTAAGCAGGTCTTGTGTAGCTAGGAAAGAAGTCCAAAAAGAAAAAAAAAAATCTGTATTTTAAAGCATCAAAGTAACCATTATAGGAAACACAATTTCTTTGTCAAACTTCCTTTTAAGGTTACATATTATATTTGAGTTATACTTGAAAATGGCCACCAGAATCTGTCAGCGTGTTGTACTTCTAAGTAGTTATCCTTCTTGAAATTATAACCTTTAAGAATAAAAAAAAAAACAGCCTCAGAGATGGTTTCTTCATTCTATACCATACTATGGAGAATGTGACAGTCTAGAAGTCTCAGTACCTTCTTTTGTCGGCTCTCAGCAGCAGCCAGCTGTGTGGACATCCTTTCTTGCATTTTTCTGCAGTGGGCCATGACTGCTTCAAGGATGGAAAGGGGGTTGGTGCAAACTGGCTTCTTCTCTTTATCGCTGGCACCTGCTTCATAGTCTCTCTGCAGTGCCAAGAATGGGTCATTTAAATTAAATCTCCCATACCGTTCCTGGATAAACACCTCCTTCCTGCGAGCCTAGAATAAAATCAGAAGAATGCATTGAAGAAAGAAATGAAAATATACAGAAAGATGTTTAAGGTTTTGTGACTATTTTTCCAAATGGCATTCTCACCATTGTGAGTAATGACTTACACACGATATCCAGACAGTGAGCAAGGCCACACTCAGCTGACCCCAGTGTGACACTTGTGGCCAAAATGACCCCAATTCCTGACTTGCAGGCATGCCATTTGGCCTACTGTTAAGTATTCCTTTGAGAATATTGTCTTTCAGCATTAAAGTCAACCCTTGAAAGCTGACCATTGATCTGCGGCATCCAGGAGGAGAAGGGATGCTGCAAAATGGGGGGAGAAGAGCACAATGGACTATGATGGAAGATTATGGGTGTTCTGGTGATGGGAGAACTGAGGTAACTACACCTGAGAGGAGAGTGCCCATATTGTGCAAAATTAACAAGGATGTAACACAATGGTACTTCACTAAAATACATGTATTAAAAAAAAAGTTTTTAATGTCTCTCCAATTACAGATGATAGTGTTCCCCCTATAATGCTCATTCCTTCCAGGAGCTCTATTTTACATGCCATATTTGCTAATTTAAAGTAAAATCTGATATGTCCAACAATTAAAATCCTTTTTAGTACCAATTCAAAATCTCTCTGTTGATAGAACTTGTATTTCATAGAATATTTTCATGGTAAGTCATTAAGTCATACAAAATATAAATTCTTAAAAGTTTAGTATAGCTGGAAAGAATATCTTTTGATATTCTCTAAAGAAGAAAATGCTTTGTGCATTTTATCTCAAAAAAAAAAAAAACAAAAAAACAACCAACCCAACAGTCACAGTTTATGAAGTTTGGCCAACTACAAAACTCTCTAGAAATTTAAGAAGTTGCAAATATCCCCTATCCTTGAAGGGCACTGAAATATAGCTCACACAATCCCAGGAAAGAACATAACCTTGTTTTACTCTAAATGTCAGTCCATCAGCATCAAAGTTAATTGCACACCCACATGGCACTAAAAGTAATTTTCTATAATTAGCACACAACAGTATTTGTATAAAATGGAAAATGGTAGTAGAAATATATTGCAAACTAGCAACGTTTTCTTAACTCAGGTTTTGGAACCACCACTAGAAAAATATATTCTGTGTCACTGCCAAGGGAAAAACTAAATTACAATAAATCAAATTTAATTGTCCAAAGTATTTTCTAAAGAAATATTACATATATTCCCTCACTTTGAAAGCAACTGCATTGAATAACTAAACATTTCCATTTTTAGATCAGTCAGCAAGCCAACAACTATATAAACACAAGTGCTATGACAAATGGGAAAATCCAACATTTCTTTTCGATTACCAAATTAGATTCAGAAATACGATTTTCAGAGTCCAGTTTCACCACTAAGGTTAAGCTAGTTGGCAGAGGATCATTTTAAACTTAAAAGCAGTAAGATTTATAAGTTAAAGAGCAGTCAGTATTCCTAGATTGTTCAAATTCAATTATGTAATCAATACATTGACTAAGTATCACTCATGATATGTAATCAAAAGCAATTTCATTTTGTCCTTCACTTTTCTCTTAATTTTTATTGAATGTAGTAGTTCTTTCCCTACTCCTAGTGAAAATGTGGGTTAGTCTCATGGCTTTTCTCATTACTTTTACTTAAAAGTAAAGCTATTTTTTTTAAAGATTTATTTATTTATTTTATACAAGCACTGGGTACAGTCAGAAGGGCAGGAGGGTGAGAGAATCCACCAGAGCCAGAGCGGGGAACAGAACAGGCAGACTGACTAAGTACACTGCTGAGGGGAGCAGCGGGAGGCAGGAAAGGTCTGCGCACCATGTGGGACCCTCGCCCAGTGGCCGGGGGGCACCGGGGAGGCTCCTTAAAAGTAAAGCTATTTCTTTTTTTTTTTTTAGATAATAGATTTTATTTTTATATTCCCCATACAATTGCAACCCCCCCATTTTGACCCCAATCCCTCCCCTCCCACCCCCCACTCTCCAAAAAGTGTCTCTGGCTCATAGTTTTTTGTTGATTTTGATTTTCACTTTCTTATAGTTATTCATTTTCCTGGTCCCTTATTTAAGTTTTCTAGATTCCTGCTATGAGTGAGACCATCAGGTATTTTTCTTTTTCTTTCTGGCTTATTTCGCTGAGCATGATCCCTTCCAGCGCCATCCTTGTTGCTGCAAATTGCGTGTGTGTAAAGCTATTTCTTAAACACACATGTGATTCTTAAGTCAGAGCAAACTTGGTAAATGGGTTAAAACTAATTTCCATGTAATATAAGAAATAAATACAGTTAACATCAACTATTTCCAGTTTAGAAAGATTCTAGGGCCTAAATTTTTTTTTTTTACTAGTATCAACATTTTGTGTGTTTATTTTTTGTTGTGCTTGGTTTCACTTTAAAATCACTAGCTATAAGTTATGAGGTTTGTTGTAGGTTCTAGGGTATTGCATCAGTGTTTCCTGATGCTGATCATCACCTTGTGCCCATGTTTACAAGGAAAGCAAGTATTACAGGCAAATGACACCATCTCTCAACTCACTGTCAAATGGCTCAGGAAAGAAGTGTGTGTGGAGAAAGAAAACAAATGGGGCAAAGTGTTGATATATAGAGGATTGAGGAGGTGGTTAATGGGGAGAGTCTGTGATGTTTTTGTAAATCTAAATTTTTCAAGATGAAAATGTCAAAATATTTCAGAATCTGAAAAAATAAAATTACAGGCTAGCTTTAACTGCTAGCCACACTGTGACATTATTAAAACTGGGCAACTTATTTTTCTGTTGAAAATGTTGTATAACAATGTGTGTAGATTCATAAACAAAGTTGCCAATTGATTTGCTCAAAAAATGTGAACTAATACTTAACTTTCATGACAAAGGGCAAGATACATACATTAGATTCAATTAAGAGTAGGAATATGGGTCTGTATTTGCTGTTAATCAGCTAAGCAATTATGTCCCTGATAGCTTTCATTTTCAAAACTCAAGAAATGAAGTAGTCTGATGTTTTCTCTTAAATACCTTATGCTTAGACTAAAGTTCCTAAGTCACTGAATGCTCAGGTAAAGTGAATGTCAAAGACCACACATGCACATTAACATTACAGTGACCCCTGGTCCCATGCTTGTTTTCAGAGATACCCAGTCATAGATTTATTCTATGATAGAATTTGTTTATATGCTACATATAGGCAACATGCATTTTTTAATATCCTTGTCTTATATTTATCATCAGAGTTTCTAGAAATAAGTAATTCTAAGACTAAAATTGTGCTTTTTATAGCTTCCTATCAGGTTTATAAAGAAGAGTGCAGTGATCTATCTTGATTCCATTGTTAAAAGTCACAGATTAAAGGAGAATATGACAGGAAGATGCTACAAGTAGAATCCAGAGTATTCATGATGTGGAATAGAAATGATTCACTAAAAACTGATTTTTAAAATCTATTTATTATTAGAATATAATACATAAATATACCAATTAATTTTTTAATTATTACCAGGGAATAATAAAAATTATGTTTATCAATACATTCCATCCCAAGAGGGTGAATTTTCCCATTTAGGGAAAAGAGAATATAAGTAGATCCAATTATCCAACTGGCAATTTTCAGTGACTTGGAAATTTCAAGATTCAGCAAGTTGCTCCCCATGCTGGGCTGCTCGGCAGAGGTGACATGCTCCAGTGTGTGCAGGGGTGAGGCAGCCAACACCAGCATGCAGAGTTGGCAACCCATCAGTTGGGGTGAAATGGGAGACTCCTAGTAAACTAGTGATATGCTCTAACAAATGGCACGTGAGATTTTTTTTTTAAGATTTATTTATTTATACAAGAACCAGGTTCCAGGCCAGATTCGTGGCAGGGTGAGAGGATTCACCAGAGACAGAGCGGGGAGCAGAACAGGCAGACTGACGAAATACACTGCTGAAGGGAGCAGCGGGCGAGACAGGAGAGGTCTGCCATGCCAGGTGGGACCCTCGCCAGCTGGCCGGGATCGAACCAGTGCTGCTGAGGCTGCAGACAGCTTCACAGTGCTGTGCTCAACTGCCTGTGCCACCAGGGGAGGCCCGGGTGCCTGAGATTTTTAAAAATGACCACACTTTACCAAACAAAATGCAACTGACAGGACCATAGCACACCTGGTTAGTAATTTCTGAATTATGGGAAGAGTATAGTCACTTTGAGCTGAGTTAAGCTCTGTCTTCTAAACATTTTGCTTTGAGCTCCTTTCAGGGGGGTTGGGGGGTCTGTTTTATTTGGCGGACATCCTTCCGCCCCATCACAGGGCATAGAGTGGGTGTGTAATGCATACTTGCTGAATGGATAAATGCTGCCTCGAACAGACTTGGGAAAACAAAATATGTAACCCAGAGCCTTTTGAGAAGGGAACTTAGACCACGTTTCCTTGTTGGAGGAAATAAAGTCTTGGTCGTGACAAAGGAAACTACAGAGGGAGTCAGACCTCTCTATAGAACTAATTCCAGAGCAAATGTTGACCAAGGATCAGTTCACCTACAGGCCCGGGCAGAATTAGGGGACCTTAGGAAGGACTCAGTTGAGTCTCCAATCTAAAGCAAGGTAAGTACAGTTTTAGGGGGTGGCAACTGGTTTTTTTATGGTTCGTGATTCTTTGTACTAATTACATCCCAAACTTGGATAGTATATAATAGATGTTCGTTTACCACAGAATTGTTAGAGTAGCTTTCCTAAAATGGAAACCGTCTCAGTTGTCTCTCCACTTAAAGCCCTATGTCATATGTCATATTCACTGCAAGCACCCTTTCTCCCCCATGCCTTGTCTATTTGACTCTCTTTGGTTGGAACAGCTTCCCCTCATTCACCCAGGAAACTCCCACAAACCCCCAATCCTCACTGCCACCTCTTCTTCTTTTGCCAACCCAAAAGTTCAGAGTTAGTTTAATCTGAATTTAGGAAAGCTTCTAGAACCATCTGAAGTCCCTTAACTTTACCCAGTTTTCAATTGTTAATGTT